CAGCTGGGAGTGTTGCTAAGACCTATGCGAGGTCGAAACTGTAGTCCACTCTGGATGAGAACATCTTTATGGAAGAGAGGCTGTGAAATTCAACAGAAACGTAAGGTCTACACATGTCATTATGGGAAAATTCAATTACCAGTCCATCTATCACCTTGAACGGAATAGGGTGAACACACAAAAGCTAAAGCCGCATCATTCAGATGAGAAACTGAGAGCGGGCCACAAAAGACATCACCCCATCACGGTTCAGTGGGATGAGTGAACGATCCCTGAATCAGACAATCTGACATTAATCGTGGAAGAGACGAAGGCCAAGATGGCGTGAACTTGATCGCAGTCTTCTTTTACTGTACAGAGTTGAGTTGACCCAGTTTTCGCAACTTGGTTGTGGTTTCAGGTGGCCACTTAATGCTTCCTTCCGGCATCGGATTGTGGAGTGGGTACATTCCCAGTGCCATAGTTTGCATCGTCAAGGATCAGTGCCACTCTCAGCACCCAACCATAACTCTTCAATGTGATAAATCGAATTCCTTGGCCGATTTTCTGTTGAGCGACGTATCTTCCCACACCGTCCTGCTATAGTAACCAAGACGGTTAATCACAAAGCGGTTTATCCCAATATGCATGGCTTAAGGAGATATGTAGCGTAGTATCCACCTAATTTTGCACACCTTGACACCTTGGGTTATTAGATCTTGAGGATCAGAACAAGTCTGATTTAGGAAGCGTATTGCATATAGATGCTAACACACACAAATATACATACTCATACAATCGAGCAAAAATAACAGAACCCTTATAAAAGAAAATTAACCAAACCACTCTATATCGATCTATCTAGGTTTTTATTTTTTTATTTTTTGACTCGATTGAGTCTATATAAGAAGTAAAATAGAGCCGGATAGTGTTCCTGCTTTAGTGTTAACGTGAGACTTTTACAAGAATGAAACCCAGCTCTGATGATATCCATCGAATGATGGACGAAAGCCCAGCACGTTTTCACTCGAAACGAGGGAGGAAGTCTCGTGGACTGCGTCAACATGAATATCGTATAAAAGCCAAACGAGATTCATCCGTCCTCATCTGGTGAGATCGACCAACGAATCACTTCTTCATGCACTTTCATTCGAAACGAAGATCCCCCTCAAATTCCTTGGCCGATTTTCTATTGACCGACTGCAACATATCTTCCCACACTGTCCTGCTATAGTAACCAAGCCGATTAATCACAAAGCGGTTTATCCCAATAGGCATGGCTTAAGGAGATATGCAGTGTAGTATCCACCTAATTTTGCACACCTTGACACCTTTGATCCATCGGGGTCGCAGGACGGTGCGCCGGGGACCAATTCGTACAAATCAAGCAATGCTCCTACAGCTTCCGGTGAGGCCAAATCACAAATCCCTTCCACTCGTCTCTTCAAACGAAATGAAGGTTACTCCATTACCAAGCCAATGTGTGATAGAGAGCCTCGCGAGAGAATACACATGCACACTCACACAAGATGGCCGTATGAGATCAGTGAGGACGTTACACTTTTCCGTGGGGTCGAAAGAGGAAAAAAGGCCCAATGACTCACCTCTGGCATAGAGCGGCAGGACGCTGAAGGTTGTATTTTTATTCTTTATCTGCTGCTCGATTAGATTGTACCTCATGCTGTTGAAGAAGGTGGAGAGCCCTTCGGCTAACACAATAGTGGAATAATGCGTGGTCTCCTCCACCTTGAACAGGCCGATCGTGGGCGTGTGTTCGTTGAGCCAACCGTATCGGGAGAAGGTGCTGGTGAACACAGCGTTGAGGTCCGAGTAGTCGAGGAGGGTGCGTGTCAGCATGCCGTACTCCCTTTTGTCGGAGAGACGAGGAGTGAAACCGGATGGCACGAGGACGGGTCGGACGAACATGGCGGTGGAAATTCTGGCCGAGTAGCTGAGCTGAAAGTCTGGAATCGGTCCGAAGAGGACATCAATGCTGTCGCGACGGAAGTGGTCCAGCACCGCCAGACAATCGCAGCCCATGTAGTCGACAAAGAGTATGGGCACGATGGTGAAGGAGACCCGGCTGAAATCTCGCGTGCTCGCCAGTTTGTCCAAGAGTATATCAAACGCCGGCAGGACCTTGGAGAAGGTGTAGCCGACCAGAGAGGGCAGTTGGACGCCAAGTCGTATCTGTTCGGCGGTGACGGAGGCCACTCTATTCCGACTGATGTTTCTACAAAGAGACTCAACCCTGGTGAACTCGCGTTTTATCTCCGCTAGATAGTCCGGAGGCACGGCTTTGTCGGGCCAAGTGCACTCTTTGAATCTACTCTTGCCCATCGCTGGCGCGGAAATGAGGCATGCTAACAACACAATGAAAGCCGTGCGCCAAGACCAAATGGGATTTTGGAATAAATTTCTCTGGCTACTCGAGTTGAATGGCATCTTAACTCCATAGGCACATTATCGAGGCCGGCGAAGGATGAGAAAAGCCTGTGTAAAGCCCGGAGATTAGACGACTGCACCGACAACACAGACAATAGAGCACCACGGCAACACGGGGCCTCGAGCCTGCATAGCCATGGCGGATTGATATCCGCCTTAACAGCGTGCACAAGCGCTTAGGGCCGTGCAGCCTCAGGCAAAGCCAATAGACAGTCGAGACGATATAGGCCAATCAAATCTCTCCAATGTTCATTGGCTTAAAATTTTTAGGTATCGATCGCTGTCAGGCCTGTGAGATAACATGAATTGACTGGGCTTCCTGTCGGCGCGTCAATTGGAGCTGCCTATCGTCGCAGCGATTACATGCTTTTTGTTTACTCTTTCTGGATGCCTTTAAATGAGCAAACTCACGTGCCGATTGACCAGAACGGCAAAGAAGCGTTGTGGTAATCTGTCCCAGTTCTATACGGAGACACGAGTTGGCCAATTACAAATCAAGCTCGTTTTTCATTGGCCTGTTGTCTGGGCAATGGATTTTCCGCTCGATGCTCTCTGTTAGCAGGACTTGTTCACACGATGCTGACCAGCCTAGATAATCTACCAGTCAACTCACTTGGCACCATTGGTGCGATGATAATTCTGCCCTATTGCAAACTTGGCGTAAATACAGCCGGCGAATGTCGCTTTGGCAACCCAGAGCTAACCAGGAGATCTCAAGAAGGCGAAGCAATTTTCCACTTCTGAGGCATACACGGAGCACTGCGAATAAAATGAGTTCAACTTCAAATGAATGAAAGAAAATTCGATTTGCACGTGCTGTAAACATGTTGAGTAGTGCTCAAGCTTTGAGTGGATCTACGTCAAAACCAGATTCTCTTTGGGCTGGGAGATGAGGTTCCAACTTTGAAATAGGGAAGAGTGGAATGTTACTACTGCATTATCGACTTTATCACATTGTAAAAATGAGAATGTGGTTCATCTCCTAGGCCTTAGGACGGCATATTGACCCAGGTATGCAGATAAGCTGGGATTTGGGGACTCCTCCAGAAGATAGACGCTGGCCTACCCTTTATTTGGTCTGAAAAGGCTGTCCTATGACCCCGAGGAATCCATACTATGATTTCGTCCGTCATGTGACGGACATCGTCAGAAATGAAGAAAAACTGGGACTTCTCACAACGCAGTAGCTCTCCTTCGATTGCCGATGAGACCACATCACGAATCCCTTCCAATCAACTTTTTATTCAAAATGGAAAGTCATGCCACAGGACACCGTCAGAGCCAGACACGACTATTTACGAGCTATCACCAAAGCACTTTTCTTGGTTTTGTCCTCTTTGGCGATTGTCCGTAAATAATGGCTTCTGGTCCGTCACATGACGGTTGTATGCTCATCACTGAGTCATCAGGGTCGCAGGACGGTGAGCCGAGCTCTTCCTCGTACAATCCAACAATCACCAATCCAAGGAAACCTTCCTTCGGTATCCTAGGGGGCTAATTTACGAATCTCTCCCACCCTACGTTTTAGATGAAATGAAAGGTATACCAGAATCAATATTTACTCAGGAGCCTTTCATTTCAAATCAAAGTGCCTAATGAAGAGATCGGCGTAGATTGTTCTGTAGTCGTTCGCTTATACCACAGTCCCTGAGACATCCTCCTTATGGCTAAGCTGTCATGGAGATGGAGATCGTCAGAGCTGGAATGCTTTAAATTAACGCATTTTCAAGCAGAGTACTTCGATTAGTATGGCAAAAGCCCAAGCCTATCTAATTTTCCTTTTAGTTGAGAATATACAACATCAGGGTTAGAACCGGTTAGTCTTCATTATATAGTGTTATCTTGAATCGTTGTCAAGGCTAGGCTGTCGGGCGAAAGCGAGCCAGTTCCCCCCTAAACGAGCG